CCTTATCAGTTTTAAATTGGTACGTGAAGGGGCTTTAATTTTCCACCCCCTTTTCACTCTGATATCAGATTAATGGAAATAAAACATGATGTTTTGGCTATTTCATTCCAACTGAGCACAATCTGGCAGAGCAAGCTATCTCTATGTTTGGAAAGCATTGAATGATCAAGTCTTAAAGATCATTAAAATTATTTTTTTAATTTATTAAGTACTTATTATATGCCACACCATGCTCTGCTGTTTTCCATGTATTAACTCATTTAATCCTCACAACACTATAAGGTAAGTACTATTATCATCCCTATTTTACAGATGAGGAAATTCAGGGACAGAGAAGTGAAGCAACTCACCCAAGGACACATAGCTCATAAATCAAGGAGATGGAGATTCGAATCCAGGTAGTTTGTCTCCAGAATGTTTGCTATTAGTTACTACATAATATTGCCATTATAAAATTGCCCCTATTTCATTTTTCCTATTTCCCCTCACTAATTTCAAAATTTTCTTTAAAAATTAGAAAAAGCATAAATATTACTTGTAAAAACATAGAAAATAAGAGTCCATATTTAGGAAGAGAAAAAATCACTCAAAATCCCACAAACTACAGATATTACAAAGTCTGAATATCTACACATATGCATTTACACTATATTTAGTGTTTTATAATCTTTTTTAACTTAACAAATTATATATTTTTTCAATTTACTTTATCCAAAGTTCTAATTTATGTCATGTGCATCAAAAACTCTTCTGAACATAGATTCAGGTGTATTTAAAAGTTTTCTTCCTTCTTCATGTACCAAACAGCTTTTCACTGGGGCTTAAAGCATTAAAAGTGTACTGTTCTTTTGAATTACTGAATTTTTCCAAATATCCCAGTGATGTTTTAAGCTTAGTATTATTCCCATAGCATACTTTAATACTTAACTGTATTTTTTGAGGAAAGTTCCAGACACTCTGTAATGACTATACACATTTTGTTTGGGGCAAAAAATAAAGAGGAAGGTTTGTACTTTTTCTTGTTTTACTGTATACGATTGAGGGTCTACTTGGGAATGTGGGGTGTTGAGGTCACTCTGTGAGGACAGGGAGTTGCTGATCTAAACCGGTTTCCATTCTACCATTTGTATGCAGATGTCAATGAGTTCAATCCCCAAAGTCATTTGGTGAAAATCTACTCTCCACCAAAATCTCCCACAGGGGCTTCTAGGCCCCTGATTTGCTTATCATGTCTTCTTGAACTTTCTACTATGAATGTTAGTGAAGACTATTATTTAATAGTGCCTACCTTGTGCGAGAAACTGTGCTAAATATGGGGGTATACAAAGTTGGCTAAAAGCCCTTTTTCTCAAAGAAATTATAGTTGAGAATGAAGAACTAACATGCAAAAGAAATTATAATACAGTATATTATAAAGAATGTACAAGATATAACAATAGTTCATAGACACTACTCTTCTTAGGGTCTTCAACAGATACGTCTGAGTAGCTGGCATATAATCTAAGTTTTGAAGGATAAGGAAAAAGGGAAGTAATACTTCTGTCAGATAGTTAAACTCATATAAGGTAAAATTCTCACAACATTTTATTTGTTATATTTATGTTATGGACAAATAAATACCATCAGCATCACTGGCTAGCTTGCCCTAGTTTACGTAGCCCCTAAGTGGCAGCACCAGAATGGCAACCAAGTCTATCAGGCCTTATAGGCAAGTATGTTTCCACATAGTAATGACCAGGAATAACACAGTTGAAATCATATTCAAGAGCAGAGAAATGTGAAAAAATACAGTAACATGTTCAGTTCATAAAGGGTCTGATGTGATATGCTATTGAATTTTAGCTTATCCATGATAGAATCAGAAGATGAAATAGAAGAGGAACATGACCATATCTGATCTTTAGATAGACAAATCTGAAAGCAGAATGTAGAACATACTAAACGTAGGTAAGATTGGAGGCAGAGATATCACTCAGAAGGCTTTTTGGTCATTAAGTACAAAAAATACACAGACCTGAAATAAAACTGACAGTGGAAATGGAGATGAGGAGACGAAACAGAAATATTCAGAAGGTACAATTTTGCAACTGGCATATAAGGTGAGAGAGGAGAAAAGGTGCCTCGAAGATCCCCGGATGAAGCATCTGAGAGAATGATCATGATATTTTCTAAGGGATTAAAAAGAGGATAAAATCACGAATTCAGCCCTTTCACATTTTAATTTGAAAGTGCTTGAGGGATGTCCATTTATGTACTACAATACAGCCTTGGATATATTATCCTAGAGTCCAGGAATAGCGCTATAGATATAGAAATCTTCCATAAGTGGTGAGTACTTAAAACTACATGTTTGGAATTAAAAAAATATTTTACAGCTTGAGTCACATCAATGCTCAAAGATAAGTGGGGGGACGGAGTATTTTTTCTCACATTACAAGATATCAGAAGGTAGATCTTTGCAGATGTCAAAGACCGTTTAGACTGGATTATTTTTCTATCTGTTCATACTACCGTCCTTAACATGTGGACGCCCAGAGCTCATGATTACTGCATCTTTAGTCATCACCTTAATATTGAATTCAGGAATAAAAAGGCTAGACAAAGAGACTTCTTCACATTAATCTTTATATTTTAATCTGGGAAATAAAACCTTTCACAGAAGGCATTATTCTGTATCTCATCAAGTCTAGGCTACATGCCCCTCTTACACCAATCCATGGCCAAGTCACATAGATTATCATATTTCACCCCAGGGCTAAGATAAGAACCTACCCCCTCCACCCCGCCCCAAATTGAGAACAGATATGTGTTCTCTTGGCATGAACTAGTGTGAAAAATGCTTTGGGAATGGCAACATATGTAACATCCAATGACGGAAGGAATTTCAAAAACAATGCAAGATCATTAGTATCAAATTTGGACAACAGGTATGTAACAAAGACTGAAAACATTATCATATGTGACATTTTTATATGTAGACTATTGTGTGCTGAATCCCTGGCAACTTCTCTAAAAGTTTTTTCTGGAGTGCAAGGAAGCTTGTTTTGGCTTGTTCAATAAATAGAATGTATATATTAAAATAAACTTACATGAGAAGGGTTTTAGAGAGTAGAGGGGAAAAAAGGAGGATAGCCCACTCCCATCCTTCACGGATTTAATTTTTGAAGGAGAGATACAACGTGTAACACACCAAGGAAAGTAAAAAGTTCAGATGAAAGATGAAAGAAAATGGTTGATGCATCTAGACCCTTGAAAAGGACTATAGTATATTTGGAATGCTGTTGAAATGGTATAGCCACTCTAGAAAACAGTGTGGAGGTTCCTCAAAAAATTAAAAATAAAATTATCCTATGACCTAGCAATAGCACTGCTAGGAATTTATCCAGGGGATATAGGAGTGCTGATGCATAGGGGGCACATGTACCCCAATGTTTATAGCAGCACTTTCAACAATAGCCAAATTATGGAAAATGCCTAAATGTCCATCAACTGATGAATAAAGAAGATGTGGTTTATATATACAATGGAAATACTACTTGGCAATGAGAAAGAATGAAATCATGCCATTTGCAGCAACGTGGATGGAACTGGAAGGTATTATGCTGAGTGAAATAAGTCAGTCAGAGAAGGACAGATATCATATGTTTTCAATCATATGTGGATCTTGAGAAACTTAACAGAAGTTAAGGGGGGGGGGAAGGGAAGGGGGAAAAATAGTTACAAACAGAGAGAGAGGGACATAAACCATAAGAGACTCCTAAATATAAAGAACAAACTGAGGGTTGATGGGGGGAGAGGAAAGTGGGTGATGGGCACTGAGGAGGGCACTTGTTGGGATGAGCACTGGGTGTTGTATGTAAGCCAATGTGACAATAAATTATATTAAAAATAAGAAGAATGCATTCTAAAGTCCTAAAGCTCTTGATACGGTCCTGGCTTTGCCACTTCATCCTTCCCAGGCGTGGTTTCATTTGTGAAGTGGGGATAATAAAATTGAATTTATCTTTTAGTCATTGAGAGGTTTGAAAGAAATAATGTACTTACCACAATTCCCTAAATATAGGAGACACTCGAATCTGTTATCTGTGATCATTAGACTTACTAATTTTGGTTACATTTATTCCTCTTTGCTCTCAGATATGCAATATTTTATTTTATTTTTAGCTTGTCATTAAGTAATTTGTTTATTAAAAGTGATCATGGACTAATATGATAATCATGCAATAAACCATTAAAATTATTAAGCCTGTGTATCTGAGTTCCATTTAAACTTAAAAAGCCCAATGTAGGGAGTGATGGGATATGTTCAAATACTTTTGTCATGGTCATCTCTATAAGTCCAGTGAAGAAGGGAAATTTTAAGGGGCTAAGAGAGGTTCAGATAAGAGAATAGAGAATTAGTATGAAAGTATTAATGGGAGTGCAACAGAAAAGCTGACATTTATGTGGTGTAAGAACACTTAGGGCAATTGTTAGGAAAATGATCTAGAATTCTTTGAGAAAAAAATTTTTTTTTAAGATTTAGGTATGAGATGAAAATTAAAGTAACCCCTTTGGCTCTATCTGCAAAATTTACAGTCACATTTTTTCCTCACATATCCCCTTTATTATTTTAATGTTTATTTATTTTTGAGAGGGTGGTGGGGACACAGAATCCGAAGCAGGCTCCAGGCTCTGAGCAGGCAGCACAGGACTCTAAGCTGGCAGCACAGAGCCTGACGTTGGAGCACAGAGCTTGAACCCATGAACTGCGAGATCATGACCTGAGCTAAAGTCAGATGCTTAACCCATTGAGCCACCCAGGTGCCCCCACATATCCCCTCTCCATAATAAATTTGCTGTTAACTTTCTTTCTTCCAAATTCATTTTTCTTCTCTCAGTGAATTATATCTAACCTAATTAGCAAGGCAAATAGGGAATCTATCTTTCTGCCCGTGATGCTTACTGTTTTTAATTTTTATCCTCAGGTCACTTGAAAATCAGCTCTCCTGTCCCCGTCAATGGGTGGACTAAATGACTCTGTGGTCACTGAAATTGTGTTACTGGCCCTTTCTTGCTCTTGGGAGAAAAAACTTTTTCTTATTTTGATATGTTCTTTGCTGTATTTAGGGGTCATCTTGGGAAACCTTTTTATTTTGTTTTTGGTAATTTTTGATTCTCACCTACATTCTCCCATGTACTTCCTGCTGGCCAACCTGTCCCTCATTGATGTGGGTCTTTCCTCTACTACAGTTCCAAAGATAATCACAGACCTCTTAAATGAATACAAAGTAATTTCTTTCCAAAGTTGTATGACACAGATATGCTTCATCCACATCATAGGAGGAGTGGAGATGGTGTTACTCATCGCCATGGCATTTGACAGGTGCACAGCAATCTGTAAGCCTCTTCACTACCTGAACATCATGAACCCTAAAATATGTGTTTCATTTGTAATCACTGGATGGGTAACTGGGGTGATCCATGCTATGTCTCAGTTTTTATTTGTTATAAACTTGCCTTTTTGTGGTCCTAATAAAGTGGACAGCTTTTACTGTGACTTTCCTAAGATCATAAAACTTGCATGCACAGATGCGGCCAAGTTTGAGTTTATCGTTACTGCCAACAGTGGCTTCATGAGCATGGGCACCTTCTTCCTGCTAATC